TTTCCATTACTTTACATATCTGTACTTTCCAAACTTCAAACTCTTGTGCCAATTTCATCAAGCCATTAATCACAGTCTCCCAGTGCGTGTGCTTGTTGTCAACCTGTCCGTTATGACGCCCTTACGTACTTCACTCGTCGAAAAATTAGGTATCAATATTTTTCAGTACTAACGTCTGACGGGAAGTGCCAAGGAAGGATTCCTTTACACCACCGCGTTTGAAATTGTTCAGTTTCGTCTTCACATCCGATACGCTCACACGAAGTGTGTATCAGAAAGTGTGTTGAAAATTTTTGAAAGAGAGTTCCACTTTTTAGAAAGTGTCTCGCATCAGTTGTTGTGTTCCAGGCACACAGTCGATGTAAAGATGTATCTGGATATGCGGCTCCTTTTGTTGATGAAACGCAAATCTTACATGAATTGACCCCATTAACCATCTAATTACTTCTCAACTCTAGAGGAAACGTAACCAGATCGGATTTTACATACTTCAGTAAATTAATGTTTTTTTATTGGAATACGGGTAATCTTTGAATTTGACTCACAATTACTTTTAAGTAGCCTGTGAGATAATTGATATTGATTGATTTGACTCATTATCTTTCAGACTTCACCTTCACGCACACTCCTCAGCTCTTCCAGTCAAACATACACCTGAAAGCACTAGATTCGAGTTTTGCTCTTATTAGAGTTCATCAATAGTGCATATCCACCGTCCCTTCCGGGATTTGAACTCCGGACCCATCGCACGGAAGGCGTGTGTGTTACTACTGTACCAAAAAGCTCATGTCAGGGCTGAACCGAGAAATGCCAATTCATATTTATTCATGTTCCTTGCTATCGAGCACCATTGAACAGACTGTCTATCTCTGAAAACGACCCCTGAATAAATATGAATTGACATTTCAGTTCAGCCCTGACATGAGCCGGTTGGCACAGTAGTTAAGCACACATCTTCCATGCAATGGAGTTCAAAACACAGACGGAACAGTGGATATGCGCTACTGATGAGCTCTAATAAGAGCAAAATTGGAGTCTAGTCCTTCCGAGTGTATGGTTGACTGTAAGAGCTGAGGAGTGTGCGTAAAGGATAGTCAGTCAAATCAAACAATACGGATAATTTGGTCACATTTTCACTTCCCGCGAATCCCCTGATTGATACATGCAGTTCAGAATAACTACTGCATGGGTCCCTCACGTTTGGCTTTTAAAATGTTATGTTTTGCCTGCATGTGAACAATGTTGTGAATTTGCTGGATCGTATCTTCGTGAATATGCTATCTCTGTTTTTTAACCGTAGTACAATGAGAGGGAATAATATTCAAGAACGATGAAGTATTCATCCGAATACGCAAGTTCATGCCACTGGAAAAATATATTGTGCACACAATTTGGATGGCATTCGAATACCCCAAGTATAATTCAGTCAACGATCAGAATTTCGCTATCGGTAATGGAAGTTCCCTTGTGTAATACCACCTTACATCCAAGGTACTGTTGTCTGAAATCGACGATTTTGGAAGACCGTTCAATATTTGCTATTCCTCATAATTCCAGCGAGTCAGTTAGAGGTAAATCGTTCTCCTCTCTGTTTAGTTCCAACTCAGACCATCGAGAGAAATTGAGTTAGGCGTGAGTCCTCGGCCACACATTCACACCTCACTCCCCCAAAACTTCTCACCTCAAACGAATTACGGGCACCGAGGATAACGTAGGGACAGTCAGTAACTCAGAGAATATATTTTACCTTGCTCAGAATAGTGATTTCAGTTGGATAAATTTTGCAACATCACGTGCAAAAGGATAAATGAAACTCCGGTACCGTTACAGGACCGCCTGACTTTCCCGAGTTGTATATTGCATGGCAGCCCTTTGATTGACCGCTTTCGCCTTCCTGAAAATTGTAGCCTTGTCTGTTCAATAAAAGGAAGCAAAAATGAAAATGAAAAAGAAGAAAGGACAGCATGATGTACACAATAAGGCACCACAACAAAAGCACTTTGTATCGGCTTATAGATTGTGTCGGGATTAATCTTTGTCACTTTCTCTCCTGTACATGCTGTCCCAGTGTGCGTTCGGCCAATATCAAGGTAAAGTATGAAATTTATAGTCAAGAAAAGTCAAGAAATTCTAGTGAATTGTAGTGAAAAACATGGGCAGCGATTGATCATTTGGCGTGAAACAAGAAACTCGCAACATTTTGACTGTTGAAAAATGTGATATCTAAACAACTAACTTCCTAAAAGCTCCAGGTGTACCACCGTGAGGGAATGTCTTTTTTACTTTGAAGCTAAACGGTAGATAGTACAGAACTTTCTACAGACTCCTTATCTTTATCTTCCTCATTGTTGCAGCTATCGTTTCTGTTGTCTGTCGTTTTTGTGCTGTGATGTTTTTGTTAGTGTTGCTGCTGCCATTATTATTATTGTTTTATTTTTGTTTGTTTGTTTGTGTTGTTGTTGTCGGTCATTTCAAAGGCATTCATCAGTACTGCATAAGCATAAATCACGTCCCACTTAATTACCTTCGTCTCCGAAATGAATCACGTTTTAGCATATCTTGATGTTTACTTCGATTTCCTAATAAAGTTTCTTTAGAGGACACCTTTTTCATGTTTTAACTCTTGAGTATAACGTTTTCCAGTCTTCCGTGCGACCAAGTTTCACCTGTGGAACAATGAAAACGCTTTTCCATAAGCACAAACTGGTTTTCCCGTCAAGAATGCAATGATGACCTAACAGTGATTGTATGAAGATTCAATCGAGGATAAATTTCAAAAATGTGAACAACGTTTCCAAAGTTCCACAATACACAACAATACAAAATGAAGATTAGACACGAACAAAAGAATCCATGTATAACTTTCGATTGTTACCCAACATGTTTCTTGTACTTTTTCCGTCACCACCACCACCACAGGGAAAATGCAAATAAACAAAGCTTTTAGTATCACTTTCCAATTTTCACAATAATGATTACTGGTTAGATTTTGTAAGTATGACTAACGGCAATACTTCTGACCAGCGCGGGTTTTCTGATAAGCACAGAGCAGCCTAAAGAAACGTTCCATCATACCATTGGAAGCAGGTTGGTAGGCTGTGATGTGTTGCCAGAGTAGCTAATAACGGCGGACTGGTACACAACTGCCGTAACTTTGTTGAGTGGAAGTTTTCTTCAAAATTTTGACGGAACTATTATCTATAATTGCCTTTTTATTCATTTCATTATATTCATATGAAGTTACAGATCCAAAGAAAAGGTGATTTTTCGACACTTTTATTTTAAGATGTGAACTTGAAGGCCTGTCAGGTGGTTCACTTCTTCGAGAAGAGAGAGAGCAGATTTTATTCGAAAACAACTTCTAGCATTTTTCTAGGCTGGGTCCGCTAGGGTAACATGCACCACAACTTTTATCCTTAGTAATTTTAGATTCATTATTTTTGTGCCATTTTCATCATTTTCAATATTTTTATTAGTAATCCCTAAAATTATTATTAAATCAAAGATTTATTATGGGAATAACTTACAAGCTCATGCTTTTTTCGTCCCATAGGTTCTTGTTGTAGTTAAAAGATGGTTCCTTGTGTAAAATGTCACATGAGACAGGCTTCTTCCACTGCTGCACGCAGCTTCATTTATGTGTAGCGACAGTGTCAACTGTTTCCGCACATGTATCTTTTCCATCTTTCGGACCTTGTTGTTTTAGCGGACCAAGATTACCTCGTTGGTCGCGGTACGTTGACTTTCACTTTCTGCACACTTACTTACCTGTACCCTTCTCTCTCTCTCTGTTCTCCAACTCATTTCAATACCAGTCGTTCTGTTTTGGTTCGTTACTTGGTCCGTTGCCACACGTACGAATTCGTGGACATTATTAGTGTAAAGTCTAAATATGTTGGAATGTAAGGTGTGCTAATGTTTCATCGAGCCTCAGTTACTAAGATTCGATGCTTGGTGTACAGACGACATGGAGTGGGAGAGAGTTCCAGATCAAACACACTCCGACTGCAAATGACTGACGCCGGCATCCCAATCGGCATTTTGAGACCACTAGTTTGAATGGATGTACTCTAAGGTGGACGTTTGGGGATAATTTTAGCAGAGGGCAAAAAGGATGGCTTGGGTTTTGCATTAATTGGTATACCATAATCATATCTCCTCTGATGCGCCGGTAGTGATTGGAATATAACCCCAGCGACTTCAGTCTATCTGTAAATGAATAACAATTCAACCTACTAACCATTTTGGTGACCATCCTTTTTGGATGCTCCAGCATTTTGCAGCCATGTTGTAGCCATGGATTCCATGCCTGAATAGCGTACTTTCTGAGTGAGTGAATTTATGCTGATAGAAGACAGGGGAAAAGCGCTAACTCAAATCGGCCAAAGGTCCGCTTAAGCAAACCGACATTCTTTAAAGCTGCGTTCGACACCTTGTCGCAGTTGAGTGAGCAGCTTACGTTTTCTTGAATGGTGATGCCCAGGTCCGTCTCACTTGAGGTGTGGCAGCTGTTTATTACCGAAAAAATACGAAAATCGTCCCTTGTGCCGTAGAGATAAAACCTTAAACTTTGGCACATTAAATTCAATATCTTTCAGAAGATACCAAAGATGAGCTGCTTTCAGCAATTCCCTGAGCGCCAGCGAGTCCGCTGGTTGCGTCACTGTATTACAGATTCTGGCATTATCTGCAGAAAGTAATAATTTTGGCCCCAGAGCCTTCGGTAGTCGTTTATGAATGTTAGGAAAAGTCTCGGGCAAAGTACAGATCCTTGTGGAACCCCACGGGTAACGTCCATAGGACTGGAAAATGAATCAGAAACACGAACCTATATTGTCCGATGCTGAATAAATGCTTCGATCCAATCAAGCATGAGGCCCTGAATAACGCAATTAAATAGTTTCCACAGTCGAATGTCGTGGTTGAAAAAAATGAAGTGTTTTTACTTCCTTTTTTATTTATTGAATATACAAATGTACAGTCAACATTCAGGAGGGGGGCTACGGCCGTACAAAAGCTGCCTGGGGAAATACAGAACTAGGATAGACGGGCGGCGGTGGAGCGGTTCTAACCCGGGACTTTCGAGTCACAATTTGGTAACCTAACCAATTGGCCACCACCACCCGATTGAACGCTTTGGAGAAGTCTAGATAACCAATGTCTACCACTTCGCCATCATCGATTGTTTTGTCCATTCTTCTCGTGCGATCAGCAAATTTGGCAGCGCAGGATCGCTTCTGTCGGAATTCATATTGAATCGGTAACAAAAAGTCGTGCTTATCCAGTTGTTCCTTCAGGGAATCTGCTACTATGGACTCCATAACTTTGAGCGTCAATGGAAGGAGGATGACAGGGCGGGATCGCTACGGCAATCGCCTTTGTAAATGGCTGAAATTGCTCCCTGCTTCCAGGACAGTGGGATCGCATTGTGATCGAACATCCTGTGGAACAGGAAAGCTAATGGCTCGGAAATTTGATTTGCCAGGCAGACAAGGGTTTGGGGGTGAATTTTGCCTGTACCTGGCGATGAATCTTCTTTAAAGCCAATAGCTTTGCTTTAACCTTTTCGGTGGTGAATCATACGTTGATTACTAAAGGATGTGGAATATGATTCATCCAGCGAGGGAGGTACAGTCCTTTATTAGTTGACGCAGCAAAACCTTGAGCATACTGGTTCTTCAGCATTTCAGTAGCTTCCACTGTATTGGCTGTGGCTGTTCTAGAACAACTGAGCACCGGTATTCTATGTATAATTTTTCGAGATAAGTTAACATGTTTGCACAACAACTTGGAGTTTGAAATAGATCTCTGTGCTGGAGATTCTTGATGGTTTAGTTTATATACACCGAAAGTTTCTTGAGCACAGGCGCGCGCCCTTCGATTGCCTGCGCTGCACTCTCGTGCTTTTTCGTCAAGTTGGAATTTATCGTTCGCCTCATCCATATATCGATGCTAATCATGTCCAGGATCTATAACTATCTCCGACATGACATGCTACGACTAAGAAGTGCGAATTCAGTGCTACCCACTAATCCTTTGCTTGATGAGAGTCATAAAAGTCCTTGGATCAAAAGATGCAGACGGGCCGGATGGCAGACTGCATTTACTTGCACCCATCCTGCCAAGATGACTGTGCCATTACTGGTCAGCACTAACGTTTGCTCACTATTGGCACATATCTCGGATTCAACCTCCATTCTCAACACACGCAGTAATTCCAACACATGCGTTCTTTGTGTCCACGAAACCTGGCTGAATCAAAACATTGAGGATGTGCTCGTGCGAATGGAAGGGTTTGATTGCTACCTGCAGGATAAGACAGCGAAGTAGGACAAAAACAGAGGCAGTGTGAAGCCAGAAGTTACTGGTTTGATCAAAACTGAAACAACGGGTCCCTGTGAAACACTTGTCGGTTCATATATAGGCAACAACATTTAAACCGAAGTAATTTTTTTCTAAATAATAATAAACAAGCCTTGGTGAGTCTTTGGAGACGTGATTTTTCTTATTCCTAATGTGTTTGTATCTTCCCCGTGTACTCGGACCGACATTTCTGCTTTCTTTGATTCCTATATTCCGTTTCTAGTTTCATTATTAGCGGGAAATCTTAACTTACTTGTCAGTGATTTCAATCATGTATGCATTTCTCTCCTGCTTCCGTTTGGTCTATCTGACTTTTCTCATTCTCCTACCAGAGGCAGTTCTGTACTGGACAGAGTGATCACAAACCACTCCAACTTATTCTCTCTCAAACTAATGCCCCCGGTTTCTATCAGTGACCATAGTAATCTTCTTGTTAGACCAAAGGTATACTCTCGCATTGCTTATCAAGCATTGATACGTTCTCGCGGTATCACATCCAAAGTTGGAACGGATGTATTTGAAGAAAATGTCCGTCGTGCTCATAATATTATATCCTTATAGGAATGTTTGGATTAGCCACAGCGAGAGAAAACCAAAAAACAACAATTTTCGATCGACCACCTTGGAAGGCCTTTTTCAAGTAAATTAACAAGCGAACATTAAACGGAAATCGTGAGAGAAACCATATCAATTGGAGTTGCTTTTGATTAGTCCGGGGGGAGGAACGATTAAGTTGGTGTGTGTGTGTGAGAGAGAGAGGTAATAAATGAGATCATGGAAGTTGTGAATGAAGCAAGAGGTCATAGAGTTAATGATGACGTCATAGAAGATGGGAGATTAGTCTGTGAGTAGTTTTGCGGTGTGGCTAGATTAAATCTTGTTTGTTAATGAGCAAAGGTGTGTGTGATTCAGTGGTTGTGCAACTGGTATTAAGCCATTAAGCTAATAATTGGGTCCCGTTTGATCGAGTGACGCAAAGTGGATCGCTGTTGATGAACAATGACTCAGTAATTAAACGTTCTCTGTATGACCTGAAACTTAGTTTCAGAGTAATCGGCTTTTCGAAGTCAATAGAGTGCTCCTCAGAAATGGAATGTAGAACAATAGCTGAGTCCCTATCAAGGGTCCTAAGCTCAGATGCATTTCTTGGAGGGTGTTTGGATTACCTGTCATGTTCGGATACCCGCGTCTTCAGTTGTCGACTTGTTTGACCAATGAACGTAGCCGTACACTGTCTACATCTTATCTTGTGAATAAGATTCGGTTTTTTCAGCTTTTAGTCGTCTGTCCTTAAGTCGCATCACAAGAGTGTTGGTTGCCCGAAAAGCGACCCGTATATTGAACGGCTTCGATATTTGTTGGATGTCTTCTGACGTATTGCGGCGACAAGGAATGACACTAGTTGCGATCCAATCGGTCTTTTTGATTTCTGGTTGTATAGATCTTTTATTAATATTTTGAATTCTTTGTAGAAAATTTGGTGAATATCCGTCATCCATTTATTGTGACTAGTTGAACCTCTTTGCGTTTGTCCGTTTTGTTTGAGACTAACTGGTTTACTCTGGTTACGAGTTTGGTCACCACAGTGGCTTTGATATTTATGGGGTGTTCAGAAGAGTAGAACAAATACCTGATGGGGTTGACTTTCTGTCCACAGATATCGATAAGTCACCCAAATCAATGGAAGTTACTTGACAGTCTAAGAAGCTGATGCTTTTTTCTTGCTTTTCTATTGTAAACTTAATGTTTTCTTGAAATTGGTTGATGAATAGCGCGAAAGGTTCCACAAAATCCTTCTTGATCACTACAAAGGTATCCTCTACATCTCCACCAGATTCTTGGTGTTGGGGTTGATTTAAGTATTTCCTCGCCAACCAAGACTTTCCATAAGAATGTTTGCTACAATTGGTGAGATTGGAGAACCCATTGCTACTCCATCTTTTTGTTGATCTAGAGCTCCATCATACGTGAAAAGGGTGGATTTCAGACATGTGGAAATCGCATTGATGATATCTTCTACATCAAGTGTGGTTCTATCACACAAAGAATTGTCATTAGAGAGTAGTCCTTTAAGGATAGCTAGAGATTATTCAATGGGAACATGGGTGACAAGAGAAACAACATTGTAACTTACAAGACATTTAGATTGATCAAGTTTAATATGTCTAAGTTTATGGATAAAATTATTTAAGTTTTTAAAGTAATGTTCATCACATTTTTGGAGTGGATGTAGAATATTTGTAAAATGTTTTGAATAGGCATAGTTCGGAGGATTTTGTAATGATTGTAGTAGTAGTAGTAGCAGTAATACGCACGGAATTTGGTACACCAATCACGCAATAGGAATCACAGGACNTGTCCCACGAGACGCGAGGAAAAGGCCAGAGAACAGGCAGTAAGTAATTCATTTATTGGAAGAAATGAAGGTGATTAAATAATATATACAGAGGGAGATTATTGGCT